CAAAATAAAGGACACGTGTTCAAAAATAGAAACTCTCTTTATTGAACAAAACGCGGGGAGACTGGGAAAAGGAGGTGGGAGAGGGGAGGGCAACTAAAATGACCAGGGGTTTGGAACAGGTCCCATATGAAGAGAGGCTAAGGAGACTGGGACTTCTCAGTTCTTCATTAGTTCCCATAATAGAAGGACTAGAGGACACCAAAGGAAAGGAATGGGTAGCAGGCTTCAAACTAATAACAGAAAGTTCTTCTTCACAAAGCAAATAGTCAACCTGTGGAACTCCTTGCTGCAGGGGGCTGTGAAGGCTAAAACTAGAACAGAGTTTAAAGAGAAGTGAGATAAAGTCATGGAGGTTGGGTCCATGGAGTGCTATTAGCCAGGGGGTAGAAATGGTGTCCCTGCGCTCTGTTTGTGGAAGGCTGGAGATGGATGGCACGAGACAAATGGCTTGGTCATTGTCTTCGGTCCATCCCCTCCAGGGTACCTAGTGTTGGCCGCTGTCGGCAGACAAGCTACTGGGCTAGATGGACCTTTGATCTGACCCAGTACGGTCATTCTAAGCTCAGGGCTGAGGGTCGTGGGTCTCACTGAACCACCTAGATTTTCATGCAAACCTGCTCCTGGATGGCCAGGCTGGCAGCTATCCTGCCCTAGACGGCCACTTTCCTGTGCCTAGTGTGGAGGTCGTGGATGAGTTCCACAATGTCTGCACTAGACCAGGAGGGTACCTGCCTCTTGCGGACCTGGGCGGGAGCTTGGTGGCAGCGGAAGAGACGGAGGGCTTGGTGGCAGTGGGTGGCTGGCTCGATCCGTGCCAGGTGCAGGGTCTGCTGGCTGGGTGCTGGCAGGCTTGCACCTGGCACGGGCACCGTAGCCAGACCATGCCCCTTTAAGGGCTCCGGGGCCGGGAGGGGGTCATAAGAGTTTCCCTGGTGGTGCCCAGAGTGGCCACCAGGGATAGCTGGGGAGGGCTAGCCTCCCACTAGTTCGAATTAAGTGGCTACGCGCTTAATTCGAACTACTTAATTCGAACTAGGCGTTAGTCCTCGTGGAATGAGGTTTACCTAGTTCGAATTAAGCGCTCCGCTAGTTTGAATTAAGTTAGAACGAGCGGTTTGCTAGTGTAGCACCTATCGAAGTTAATTCGAACTAACGTCTGTTAGTTCGAATTAACTTTGTAGTGTAGACATACCCTGGGTTACTGGATGACATGAACATATCTTGATGCCATGACAGATTCCAGGGTTATGTCCGCACCAGGAATATGTATCCTCCTGTCTCACAAAGAATATAGCAGGAGAGGGGGAGTTCACAAATGAGTGATGACAATTATTAGGAACATAGAAAAGCTTTCAAAGACCAGAGTCAGAAAAGGTTGGGATTGTTTACCTACAACAGGAGATTAACACAATAAGTAATGGATGGTATAAAGATCGCCAATTGGGCACTCCTCTTTAACCATTTTATAACACAAAGTCAATTAAATGGGAAGGCAGCCTATTTAAAAGTGATAAAAAGAAATTATATCCCTATACAAGATGTCTATGAAACTCTCTGCCACATGCTATCCATGAATAACCAGGATATCCAGAAGCAAAATACAGGACTATGTAGCACTTTAAAGACTAACAAGATGGTTTATTAGATGACGAGCTTTCGTGGGCCAATAAACCATCTTGTTAGTCTTTAAAGTGCTACATAGTCCTCTATTTTGCTTCAGCTACACCAGACTAACACGGCTACATTTCTATCAGGATATCCGGGGTTGCTATAGTTTATTAAAAACAAACAAGGTCTTTGGAAGAAGTGATCCTTCCAACTTCAGGAATAATCCAACCTGTAAGTATTGGGCATTCAGAAGAAGATTGCTCTGGGTCAGTCTTTTACCTACAGGATTTCTTCCTCTGAAACTTCTGGTATTGGTGAAGACAGGCTACTAGATGGACTGGACTGACCCAGCATGGCAATTCCTTTGTCTTCCTTTGCAGCTCTCTGGGAAACCTCCACTTCATTCTTCCTCCTTTCTTCCCTCACAACTCTTTAAAAAAAAAAAAAAAAAACGCGCCGCTCTCTGCCCAAACACACAACCATGCTGATAATCTGATTGGTGGCCCAGCAACACCTCAGATGAATTCAAAGTAGAGAACTCTGACATGAGAGGATTTTGGGACACCTGTTAGGGCTTGTAGGGGAATATGGGAAGA